TTTGCACCCTTTTCTTCGAGCCCAAAGGGATCGCGTCAACTTACATTCTGCTTGTGCTTCAACTTGTGACTCGCTTTTGCTAATAGCTTGCTCTGTGAACAGTAGTGGATAGGACAACTGCACGGGCAGTCATCTGATCGTTGAAGGTATTGTTTTTTTCCCTGAACTGCCAAACCACAGATTCCTCCAGGAACGACTGGGGCCTGACACCCATCGAAGGCATTAGCTGCAACTTGGATGCCGTGCTGGCCTACTCTGTCGCTGCGTTGTGTGAGACATATCAGACTGCTGCACTCCGCAAAGAAACGGCGGAAGTGCTATTGTACAAAGCGAAACACAAGCTTCAAAGGCTTCAGCGCCTATTTCTGTGAGATGTTTTGGCAGGGTGATTTGCGCCAAGGCTTGACAGTGTGAGAACACTTGCACTTGCACTGTTCTCACTCGCGTGTGTGAAAGGTCAATGGCAATTTTGCTGGCATTGTGCAAAGACCTTTTGACCTGTGAACTCAGTTGATTGCGAAAGGTGGATGTCTTGAATGCCTGACGAATGGAAGCACCCCGTTGGCAATCCTTCTGGTGGGGATGTGAGTTCTTGAATCCCGGCAGTGGCTCTGGTCCGGAAAGACCCATTTGTGCTCGCCTTATGCAACCTTCAAAGGCATAGAGTGAGATTGTGGCACTACAGGCCATTTGCAGGGGCGCACTGTAAGCACTCCCACCTGTTCTAGAGCACAACATTCTGCAAAAAGTCGAGCACCCAAGGATAGGCACCCTGGCATGACCACTGTGGTCAGTACATGACATCCTTGAAATACAGCATTCGCCACTGCAACCACAGAGCTGAGAAGTTTAACTGTGGTAGCGTGTGGCAGTGTCGCCATGCCTGTCGCTCAATGGTGTGATATCCCGCCTCGACTTGGACATGCCGTAGCCGCGCTCGGCAAAGAATGCTTTGGCAGGAAGAATACCGGTCTCCTTCGTCGGAACTGAGATTGCTTTGGGGTGGTCCGCATGTTCTGCTCTTCTGATTTGTTCCTTCAAGGATATTACTCCTCGGCGATTCCAGACAATGAGTTGGTGGCGGTTGTACTCCCAAAGCTTCTCATGAATGGGGTCATTGAAGAGGGCTGTCGGCATCGTCTGACAGAAGTGCCAGCTCACATCCAAAGGTGTCAAGGCCGTACTTGTTGGCCAATAGCTCCACTGGGCAGTCTTCAAGCATTTCCCAATGATGGCAAATGCTCAGTGGAACAGTAGTTTCAACTTCATTTCCTGCTGACGTGACAAGCCTCAAGGGACAGCGGCAAATGCCTGCCAACTGATTTGCATCGCTGTCTCTGGTATCCATGAGGGATGGTGTTGCAGCAGTAGTTAGGGCTGGTTTGAGCCAATGGCCGCCACCGTTTGCTGCATTGGTTCTGACTGTCCGGTTCGTGCTGGTGGCTCCTTTTGTTCCTCTTCGATTTGGTCGCATTCTGTCGCTTGGATGGGCTTGGTATGGTCCATTGACCCGTGAAACGTTTCAAAAGCTGATTCTGTACGTTCAGTGCACAGGACCTCCATGTCTTGCAAGTGTTGCGAGTGGCAAAAACAACCCGACTCTGCGACACCACTCCGCCTCTATGATGGCATTGTGCTTTGGGAGCGCATAGGGCAGCTCTATTCTGTCCTTGAGGCCAGCAGGGCATCCTCCCTGATTGTACTTCTGGAGCAACTCTTGAGAGGTGGAAGTCAGGGTCCCTTTTTTGGCAAGAAGCGGCCAGTTTGGCCTTGAGAGAACCACTGCCAGTCCTGTGAGGAGCCATCTGGAGATGATCTCACTTGTTGCCAATGGAACGAGCTGCATATGTGTCTTTAGCTCGGAGGAGGAGGCTTTGCCTGAAGGAGAAACACCCTTGTCCGTCCGGCGGTACATACTTGTCATCTTCAACTTCTTTTGTTTCTTCTTCCACTTTATTTGCACTATCGAGTGCGCCAGAATCGTCTTCTTGCTTTGTCAAGGGAGGCTGTGGGGGGTAGCACAGCTTGCCGTACGTCCGGCCACACTGGCACCTCAATTCGAAGAGTGCTCTTGCAGGTAGATTGAAAGGAGACAATTTGGCTCAGGTTCCCATCTAGCAGACCTTGCCCGTAAGCAACAGCAAGGCTGGAAGTGTCGGGGAGAGTCGCACTATAGGAGGTGTTTGGACGACACTCATTCTGACAGGTGCCCACCACTGTGTACGGGCTGTTTGTCTCACTTTCACTATTGTGCTCATACTTCCCTTTTTCCTGAGTGGCTTCTGTGAAGTGCAAGTCTGTTCTCATACGAGCTATCAGTTTGTTGTGTACTGGCTGGACCGGAAAATAGACATGCAGGTGAGGGAGGTCTGGCGTGCCCACGCGTTGATTGCGGCCGAAGGACATTACTACTGTTTGCATTAGTGCTAATGTTTTGCCTGTGGCCTCTAGATCCCGCACGCCTCCTTCTTCCTTGGCTTTCTGCACTGGACGCCCGTTGGCTTCTTCAATTGTCCAGCCTGCCTGCAAGCTTCTCGAAACTTTCTCTTCTCTGAGAAATCTGCTGGAATGAAGGCTCTGGCTTTTTTTCTTTCTTCCGGCTCTTGCAGATATTCGCTTGGGGTTGGAAATGTTCACATGAGACACCAGGACCGGTGTTTGTTTCACATTCTTTTTCAGAGTCATTCTCTGAAGACTCACCTGCGCATAACACCTTCTCAGGCTCAGGAGGCGCCTCAGGCTCATCAGCCTCATGGTCTGCCGTGTCTTCTCCAGCGGGGATCCCTTGCTGTGTCTTTTGCAGAGGAGGAGCTGCTTGATGAAGAAGATGATGAAGATGATGAAGAGGATCTCGCATTACTGGGCATGGTGGCCAAGGTGACCACAGCTGTGTCAGCTGAGTAAGCACGATAGTTTGTTAGAGAAACGCGCAACACCTGCGGGAACAGCGCCAGCAGAGTCTGAACGAGTTGAAGAAGAGAGGGAAGAAATCAGCGAGAGCCAAAAAACAAAGAATGTTCATGAAGGGCTTGAATGTTCAGAGCCTATGTGCCATCAAGTTCTCAGGGAAGCTGAACGGGATCAAGGTTTGCCAGCTCCAGGCACAAGCCACTGCCCAGAAGTGGCACTTGCTGACGGAACATCAGCAAAGGACAACATATCAGCTGAAGGACAGCATGAATATTGCTCTGGCATTGGCTGACCAGGTAAAGGGCTGGAAAGCTTTGCCTCCAGATGCTGTGGTCAAGAAGATACAGCAGGAAAAGGAGCTGCCCCGCTGGCAGGTGCCAGGTCAAGTCTTAGAGGCCCGGGACATACTGCAACTGTTTTTATTCCTTGTTTTTGGCTAGGGTAGGCGGGGTTGCAAAGAAACCACAGGTCCTTCAAGAAGAAAGAACATTGGATTTTGATGGATTTTGATCCACTCCAAAGTGATCACAAACCACAGGTCCCAAGTCATCCAGAAGCCACACCTGTTCTAGTTGCAGAGTGGCCCTAAAGGAATTGGACACCGCCATGGTTGAGTTTCTTATGGGCAATTCCTTGGTCACCCAGCGCAGGGACATCGTCTTTGCACGGCACTGCGCAACTTGCAAAACCAAGTGGGCTATTTTTTTTAGTCCAGACTTACCCAGGATGACATAGGACTTGCAGGCGTCTGTGTGTGTGTGCATACCCAAGGTAGTGACTGTGAACCGCCTAGCCAAAGAATACAACACCGGCTTGGAAGCTGCGAAGGAGGCAGTGCGTCAGCACAACCAAAGGATGAGAGCAGAACTTTGCGAAGCTGGCGTGCCCAAGAAGCACATAGCCAAGGCGCTCCTTCCAGAGCCTATGCCCTGCCCGGAAAACTTAAACATGCGATTCGTGCGGAAGTTCTTGTCCGCATTTCATTGGAAGCAGGCAAGCCGCAACACCAGCGGCAATTATCTGGCCTCCTGTTTGAAAACAAGCCGGTGTGTTTTCTTTTTCAAGCCAATGAGCCAAAAGAGTTTTTTTTCTGTTTGAAATGAATGAGAGGATGGGGAGTCATTGATACCTACTCATGAAGTGTGCGCACAACTCCTGTGTCATATAGCCCAGCTCAGGAGTGGAGCGATCCACGGCTGGAGGGAAGTAGTCAAGGAGATACAGAATGGTGTCCACAAATGGTTGATATTGAACCTGGACCAGGTTTGGCGTCAGTCTTTGAGATTTGGGAAGAAGGTCCTGGTGAAGGGGACCCAACGTGCCTTTGATAGGTTGGATCCGTCACAGCTTTACTCCCGTTACTTTTCACTTGTATCTCCTTCCGGGTGTGGTGACACAGGACTTGCATGGACTTGCGAGACCAACTGAGGAGCCAAGCAGCATGACCACATGATTGCAAGAAGTGACGCATTCGCCACTGCTCGGCAGTCTATCACTGCAGTCACAAGCTGTTGGTCGGACGGGACCAGAGGTCCCTTGGGATTGTGCTATCCTTCAGGCGCCTTTCCTCAAAGCGAAGTGGACAGGTTCAATCAGAAGTACGAAGGCATTTGCTACATGTTTGAGTCTGAATCAAAGAGTCATTTCATGACAGGAAATACCTTTCAGACATTGCTCCGGGGATTGTTGACGCCAGCATATGCTATCAAGCGTAAAGCGCTTGGCTTGACCATCAAGGATCGAGGACTCCTGCTGACTGACGCTTGGAGCGGGTTCCATTGCTACAAGACTGGATTGAACCACGCCAGAGAGGCGTGGTGCCTGAGCTCCAATGTGAAGCTGCCGGCCCTCCAGGTGCGGGTTCCACCTTTGCTTGACTGAAGCTTTTGCCCAAATTTGTTTTTACTGGGGCTTCTCCATAGGTACCAAACATGCTGACCTAGGACTTGTGGGATTGTTCTGCCAAACTTGGGTTCAAGGTTCGAGGTACTAGATGACCTGGGACCCACCCCATCGCTTGCTTTGCCGAGGCCGGAGGTTGGTCGGCAAATGCCCAACCAATCGACCAGGCGCATCATATCCTCCGCATGCGCCTTGACATGAGCGACAGCAGTGACCTTGGATGCTTGCCTGATCTCCGTGACAGGGATCGTTTCGTGGCTAAATTTAAAGGACAAACACAGCATCCCGTCCACAATGTCCTGAGAGTTGTGGGTATGGTTACTGGTTGTTAGTGGGGATTTGAATTGCATGACAATACTATGCAGCGATGACTGGTTTTACCTCATGGTAAAAGCCACATCCAAGGCTATCAAGCTCTACCGGTGAAGGCCAATGGCCAGGTCCAAAGACCAAAGGCCTTCAACCTCCAGTTGCCTCAAAGAACGCTGGCTGCGTGGCAGTCAATGTCAGCTACTCAGACACACACGCGCGCGCAAAGCAATTGAAGTCATGACGCGGGAGTTGTGGCTGCTTTTTGTATTGCTTGTACACAGACACACACAAATTTATATATATATATAGGTAGGAGATACTGGCAGTCTATTAAATTAGATTCCTGTGACTTGTGCAAGGCCAGACGAGTGCTTTGTATCTGCATGGATTGCGTGTGGCTACTTTGACGGCAGCCACTTCCCAGATGTCAGTGAGATGACCCAAAAGGATGCCATTGAATCCCTCGACCCGACTGGCTTGATGAGGCAAGTTGGCATCCCTTCGGATCATGCTGGCGAAAGCGTCAGTGCTGACAGGCAGCTCCATTCTGCCAAGTTGGCAACAAGTTTTGAACACAGTCCCTCATGAGATAGGACTTGTAGGAAACACAAACATAACGCGCACAAAACAAAGCAAAACACACATTCAATAGCGTTCTATTTTGTGGCTTTATGACCTGGGAGTTCCTGTTAGGTGGTACTGGTGCGTCAGGATGGAGGATGGCAGGGTCGCTGCACTGCCCTCCGTGATCGGAAATCAGGTGGAGAGATTGGTCTGCCGCCATCGACGCGACCGGAAGATGATAGTGGACAAGATGCCTACAGATTGGGAGAAAAAGCTTTCCACCATCAACAGCCAGACCATGTCAATCTGCTGGAATCGGAAGACTTGCTCCATGGCAACCCCTTGGTATGTGAAGAAAGTGACAAGGATGGTGCATGGCAAGTTGGAGTTTGTCCCAGGGTCAGGAAAGGGGTACGAGTTGATATACCTTCGCTTCACACCAAGTGATGAAAAGGATCCTGCTGGTCGTGGGACCTATTGGCTAAGTTCTGCCAACTATGAAGCCCGACCTGTTTGCTGCATGAACTCCACAGCAGATAGGAGCGGATTTGACTTGTTGAAAGAAGCGTACGCAGGCGTGGAGAGATGACCTGGGAGTTGTGTTACAGTTGTTTCTTCAACATGTTGATTTTTCACCCTGTTAATGTTCTCTAAGTAAAAAAACATAAGCATTTCAATCACACACGGTGAGAAAAAATGGCACCCACATGACCTGGGAGTTGTTGGTTGATGGTGTTCTGGAAGATGACAGGTTTTCCACCCTACTTAGGACATTGATGACTTGGGAGTATTTTCAAGGTGTTGTTCTCAATGCTGCTAGGTGATAGTGATGCTTCTGTAGAAGACGAAGATGATGCCGTCAACCCAGAGGAGGAGGAGGAGGAGGGCACAAGCGGCATGCAGGCGCCAGAGGATGTTGTCGCTCACGACCATGAGGATGCTACACCAGGAGAGTCAGAGTCAGATGGATCAGCGCCAAGTAGCGGAATGGAGGATGCTGACTTGGAGTCTGACGAATCAGGGGAAGAGGAGGAAGTGCAGGGATATGAAGGTGAGAACGGGGAGACAAAGGAGCCCATTGAACAGGAGAAGCCAAGCAGCAGTGTCAAGGTTGTTGGGGCACTTGGCCCCAAACACAAGGCCTACCACACGAGTCCTGAATGGCTGCAACTCCTGGAGTTTGAGAAAGAGAAGAAGGTCATTTTGAGCAAAATTCCAAATGTGATTGGTGCTGGGGTGCACCGACATCCATCTAAGTGTTTTTGGACCGCGATCTACCCAGCATGTTCGATCAAATCGTGCAGTTGGGGAGCTTCACGGACACCACTCGAGTGTTTGATAAAATGCATCAAACACATCATTAAGCAACACCTGATTGCTTATCCTAACAGCTCAGAGGATTCAGAATGGAAGAGCCAGCTGCAATCCTTGAGCGATCTTATTTCAAGTAGCTGAAGAAACAGCTCCAGTGATCTAGTTCGCTGAACCGCACAGAGAAGTGAAGAAAAGAAGAGGAAAAAAGACACTCTTTCGTTTCAAGTCCCATGTCATTAGGTGCACACTGTTCTATTTGAGGAGTTTGGTGACCAAGAAACGTTTTGCACCAAATGTTGTAATTAAGGTACAAGGCCATCTCTCTTGGGCTGCAACTCCCATGTCACCCGCTTCACACTGCAATGTTTGAAGAGTTGGGTGAGTCTATGTGAGTCTCTTATTTTATGTGTGAGGTGTTGCCATTTGCTTAAAATATGGTTGCAAGCACTGGTGACCCAGGACTTCTGTGCTAACTTGTCCCATGTCATCTAGGTTAAACCACCTGGGGTTCCAGTCTCATATTTTTTTTGAGGTGTTGCCATTTGCTTTAAAGATAGTTGCAAGCACTGGTGACCCAGGACTTCTGGGTACAAGATTGCTAACGTGTCCCATGTCATCTAGGTTAAACCACCTGGGGTTCCACTTTGCCATAGTCCTAGGTCATTTGTCCATTTGATACCTTTCTTTGTGCAAGTCCTATGTCATCTCTCTAAAACCATGGTTTTTCCTATGTCCGCCAGGTCCTAAGTCATCTGCATCTAGTATAACCAGTGTACGTTGGAAGTAGAAGACTCCAATAGAAACTGGAAAATTATGATTGTCATGATCATTATTTGCGGCTTTGCAGCAATGACCATAGCAATGTGGATGTTGCGGAAGTATGTGGAAGAGAGAATAGAAATTCAGAGAAGATTCACCTTGGGCAAAGTGAATGAATTGGAGATTTTAGTGATAGACGTAGAATACCAATTCGACAGGAGAGAAGAAGATGACCATCCAGTCAACTTGCTAACAGGCCACACAAGGAGAGATTTCACTGTGGATTGATTGTCAATGGAGGTCTTGTAGAAGAACAGCAGTATCAAGAACCAGATTCCATGCACAGACAGTGCCATGATATGATCTCTGAGGCAATGCAGCAACTTAGCAAGAAGAAACTTAGAGCATGTGAGAGCTACAAGAGGACAATTTTGTATGTCACTCAAAAGTGGAAATCCAGAGTATGTTAGCAACATGGAGCATGAGGAGGAACAGAGAGCAGTATTGCGTGGTAGACTTGAGGGCAAAATGAACAACTTGAACAGGCAACATGAAGTACTAGTGTACAGAGGAAAATTTGCCCAAGCAGATGATCTTGATGGTGAAAGTGCTTAATGTCATCTGATGCCAAATGAGATAAACTCAAGATGAAGGACCTCAAGGAACTCCTTTCCTTAGAGGGGAGAGTAGAACGGGTGTATAGTGGCGGCAAAGTGAACTAAAAGAACGAATTAACATTCACCTTACCGAGAAGGAGTGAGTAAAATTTGCAGTGTAGATCATAGACACTTTTCACCTTTGCTCAGCCCTTTTGAGTATCAAGAAAAGGATTGCAAAATAGTTTGGTTGCAAAATTTTCAAAAAGCACCACAACCATTTGTACTCCATTTGTTTGGCTTAAGTGCGCGGAAACAGAGTGAGCGTCGTTTTGCTGCGCTGTATTTGCTGCTTGAAAGTGTTTTCTTGTTGTGTCAACGTCAACGGAAGCGGGTTGAGTTCGTTTGGAAGCGTTCAAAGTCTACCCAAAAACGGTGGTAGGTCTTTACGTGGTAGCGGAGTTCCGGAAACGAGCGTCGGTCCAGGTCAACGTTCTGTTGCAAGAGGAAGCAAGGCAACAGGTTGAGATGTGGTTTTGTTTTTTAAACGAATCGTCTATTTGGTCTATGACTGTGTGTCGGAGGAATGGCTGATGCGACAAATTCTGGGAGAGAACGATTCAGGGAAATGTTATGCACTGATAGGTGTAGAGCAAAGCATCTCACTATCGGGTCAACACAACCGTCGAATTGTCCGACAGGACTGGAAAAGGCAGAGGCCGAAAAGGTTCGAAAGCGAGATCGTGGGGGTGAACAAGGAGGAGCGACGACGCCGTATGTATCCCCTATAACCCGTAACACGTGCACCCCAGCGCCAAGTACTGATACAGGTCTGTCGGAACCCCAATGGAACCAGCTTCTTCAGATGACTTCACAGCAGTTAGAGACCATAGGTGCCGGAACTTTGATGAGACATTTGAAGCTCAAAGAGCATGTGAATGCACCGACGCAATGAAAACACAAATCCTGTGAGAAACCAACACCAAAAAGGTAGGACCAAAAGGTTCAAACACCCCCAACATACCTTTTCAGTGGCCTATTCCATAAATTAAGCACATTTTGAATATCCATGGATGCTAGTATATGCATATGTGACCCTGGAGAAAAAACACAAGTAACAACACCGGTGTTTCTATCTGGACGCAACGCGTTGGGTCCAGCATGCGGGGGGGTCTACCACGGTGGCCGACTGCGTTTTTGTATACACAGTATGAACATGCCAAAAAGGATTTTTTTCCCATTTTTTTCGCCCAAAGATGAATCTCCCACCTTCAGACGTCCGAATTCTCGCACTCCGGCCATGGACCGCGCTCGCTTCGCACCATGACGGGGGTTTTGGAGGACGGATGGCAGATGGCGGAAGGGGCCGGAAAATGGGTTGGTGAACTACATGGTTTAGCTTTGGGTGTTTCATCCAAAGCTGGAACATCTGGCCATAAGCATTTTTGAGTCGCAACCAATTGTGCTCAAAAAAAATAATGGTTAAGCATTGTTCACCGCATTGAAAGAAAAGGTGTTGAACGTGACGAAAAGGAAGAGATGATTTGGGTCCGGTGAAACTCGCCATTTTTTGTATCTGTTTGTTTTGATCTTGTAAACGCACGGATTTATCAGGATCGTCGCCTGAAAAAAGGACATTGGCCTAGCATGTTTTCTTCGGTCAGTTTCACATAGCACTTTGCATGTCTTCGATCGAACGAGTTTTTCATACTTCCTTGGCTTTCCTTCTTGGTTGGTGTCATTTGGCGGACATCAACATTACGTGATGGTCGTTGAAAAAACGGCGAAACCACTTGCTATAAGAAGGTAGTGGCGGACATTTGTGCAACGGAGCGAAGAGGTTGGCTTCGTTTGATGGGGTGTACTTTTAAATACACATTCGGGTATACCCGGTATATGACATCTAGTTTAAAACATATTTAGACATATCCAGGGTATAGGGTATCTAAGGTACTCCTCATTTTGCGTATTTTTTCTCTCCTTCACCTGTAGTTGGGGTGAACCTAAACCGGGATCGAGGGCATCTCGGGGGAACATCCAAAGACCGAACATGCGGATCAGGTCGTACCCAGGGTCAAGCAAATGAGACAGAAGTCTCTCATTGGCTGAAGCATTTCTTTTTCGCACCCAGTTATAGAACCAACAGCAATCATGTTGCAAAACCGAGCAGAAGGCTTTTGACCTCCATTACTTGTGAGTCAGAGTGGAGGTAGTTGCCGTAGCACTTTGCAGTGCTGCAAGCAGACATGCTGCAGGTTGGCGCTGCTGGCATTGCCATTGCAGCGTTTGCCCGCTCCAGGTGTGTTGGTGGTTTGCCTGGAAGTGACATTTGCAGTGGTTGACTTGAGTATACATAGGTAGCACAGTCATACAGCTTAGGTAGTCAGCAGTTAGCATGTGAGCCCTCATTCCATAGTTGTCGCTTTACATTTATGTTATTGTGTGGACCTAGGCTACCTAGACTCAGTCGACGGTCTTGTGGAATTTCAGTGGGACCTGCGCACTGTCGTGATTTAACACTACACTAGGTGTCCAATGATATGCCAGGCATGAAAAAGAACACGGACCAGGGCCCTGGGGACCCACTGTCAGCCGGCGCCTTCGTTCTCAGCCTCCCAGGCATGAAAAGGAACAGCAGGAGGCCGAAGTGAAGGGTTGGTGAGCTCGCTCTCAGTTTTGGAGAGCCAGTTTGACTGGTTTTAAACGTCAGGCGACTGCAAAACACGATCCACTGTTGCAGAAGCACATACGCGTCGGAAACACAGTTCTGCAACTTGCGACTGATCGGTTTGAGGGGGTTCCCGGCTCTGGCGAACAAAAGAGCGTTTCTCTCTTTGTTGCCACTTGAGTCACTTGACCAAAGATGTTGCGAAGGGTGTGCTCACATTTTGACTTTACAGGAGTGAGCTCCTCGCGATTGTTGAAACTTTTCTGTTTTTTGCGTAGAATCACAGGACATGAGTATGCCAAGAACAGGGATGTATTACTAGTGCGCGCTCGCTATTTTTCTTGAAAAAGGGATGCGTAGAATCAGGTCGGACCGGCATCAACGATTGGTTTTTGGTACATGGCATTGCTTTTGATGGACACCCATGACAGAGGAATCGATCCAGATCACGCGAGCTCCGAGCTCCTCGCCAAAGGCAGAATGAATTCGGGGTCATCAGATCTGCTTCAAGTCTGCTGCAAGTCACGTAGAATGTTGAGAAATCAGGCCTTCTACATGACTTGCAGCAGACTACATGACTTGCAAGTCAGGCCTTCTACATGCCTTCTTGGGGGTTGTCAGGCCTTTCGGCGGGGTGGACATCTCCGTCCGTTGGATCGCTCCACAGACCGACGCGCACTGGAGGCGCGCGTGGCCGCTGAGCTCTACCGGCGCTTCTTCAGTGCCGAGTTGTCGCCTGGAACATGGGTGCGGAAAAGGGAGAGGCTCCAGCGGTAATTTGGGGAAGATGGTTCACTGTATATCGCCAAGCAGTTCTGAGTTTAGTCCTGAGTTTATATATATTTTGTTTTTCTTTTTTAGCCGAAGGTTTCAATCCAGGTTCATGGCTTTTACCCGTGGGTTTTAGAAACCTGCGGCATCTCCTAGAGCCCTGAAGTCCAGACATGTGGGGATCTCTCTTTTGGTCGATCATGGATTTGCATACTTTTCTGTGCGCATTTCGGCTACAGGGTTCACCGCCACAAGCGCGGCAGAAAAAAAGTTGCGTCTTGAAGCTACGAGTAACAAAGGGCATCGCTACTAGGAGCAAGAACTCTACCAGTAGCTCTACTAGTAACAAGAAACTACTAGTAACAAGGGTTTTCTTGGGCAGCTTTGACACGGCGCAAAACGCGCTCGTCGTCGACGACGTGTCAAGATGGGCTGCACGAGCAGCACTCTCGAGGTTCAGCCTGTACAGCCCTGCGAACCCAAAAGAGGGCTGCCAAGATTGCTTGGTGCCAAGACTGGTCTTGAATTCCAAGTAGAAGGGAGAGGTTCAGAAGCCAAGTCACCAGAAGAATGCCGAAGCCGCAGCAACAAGGCCTTTGGACCGAGCTGGGAGTTGGAGTTGCTTCGAGTCGGTGAGAGGCTGAAGAAAAAGCTCCAAGATCCACACTTCGTAGCTACTCGTGTGAGTGAGTCTGATGACCTGGAACTACACCAGCTGCAGCAGGCCCTCAAGGTCTTTGGGATGGACACAAAGGACCTAAGCAGTTCTGCGTTCCAAGAAAACCGCATCAGCAAGGAACACTTTGCTCAGATGGTGTCCGCGCATGCTCCTCGCGCGTCGCTGCATCGAAGCTTGGTGTTGCAAACGGAAGCGAAGCGCGAAGCGCCGCGCAGCAAACGGATTTCGACCTTTTTGGACCTTCTGGATCTTGATCAGAAAAAACTTATCAGAAAAACACGCGTGTTTCCGTTTGGGCCAATCTGAGCAAAAGCATGCTGACCACGGTTTTCTCCTCTTTTTGTGCCGCTCGGAATTCTCTAAGTGAGACTAAGTCAATGATTAAGTGAGTATCTGCTAGTACAGCTTCTCTCTTTTGTCCTTTGCGAGGAAGTGTCCCACACTCTTGCGTGGCATGGGCTTGGGTCAACTACATCGCTTGGAAAGCCTCTTCATCGACACTGGCTGGTTGGCTGCACAGTGCAGATCCTTCAACCGAACCCATTCAGAGGCCATCCAAGGGGGCATGGAGCTGGCACGAGCTCCAGATCTCTATGGAATGGACACTTTTGTGGTCACTCCTTTGTCCAAGCCTGGGCCTTCTACCGCCCGGGAACACGATGCCAATGGCGTGATTCCATGTGCACATCGAGCGTCTTCCTTTTCAGAGTTGGTGAATCCTCATGGGCTGTATGTCCACTGCTTTGTCTCGCACTTCTGGGGAAACTTGTTCAAAAGCACGGTCAAGGCCCTTGGTCTGTGGGCGAAGGCCAACTTTGAGAGGATGCAAGCTGGGCAGGCGGAATCTTTAGTGTTTTGGATTTGTCTCTTCGCCCTGAATCAACATGATGTTACTGAAGAGCTGGGAGAGAATCCACTGCAAGCGCCCTTCAATGCAGCCCTGGCACACGCTGAAGCTGGTGCAGTGATGATTCTGGATGAGGACGTCAATCCATTGAAGCGTATTTGGTGTCTCTTCGAAATCTCGCGACTGAACGACCTGCAAAAGCCCTTGGAGCTCATCACGCCCTTGGGGCCCTTGTCACAGGTCCCAGAGAAGTCAGATGTGACAGGCTTCCTGCATTCCACTTGCAGGGCCTTGTCGGAGGTGTCAGCTAGAAAGGCAACGAGTTCAGCAGAAGCTGACAAGTACCGTATTTGGGCAACAGTGGCAGACAGGGCGGGGAGCGAAGTGGAGCGAGGGCTAGGATTGAGCCAGGAATTCTCCAAATTTGACGACCAAATTCGCTCGCTGCTGTCTACAAGCATGCTAGACATTTTCGTGGCCAGGGGGGGAGTACGCCTCAGCAGCGAAGTGCTGTGAGTATGGAGCCTCCTTTGCCAAAGAGCACCTCAGCCTCATTTGCTCGAGCTTTGCCAGCGGCCCAGAGCGCACGAGCTGGTTGAACGCTTTGCTCCTGAAGTGCACAGAAGCTCCTACCGCCAAGCTGCTGCTGGAGAACCATGCTGATGTTTGGGCCTCCCACCACGATGGGACCACCGCGTTGATGCGTGCTGCACGCGGCGGCCATGAGTCAGTTGCATTGCTCCTGCTAGAGTATGGTGCGGGACGACCTAGTGCTGATCATGATGACATAGTGCTGATGGCGGCTGATCATGAAGCTTGCTGTTGGCCAATGACCTTAGTCGATGTGGAATATGACTCCGCAGACGTGGAGCTGCCGTTCTTATCAGAGTCTGACTTGGAGGAAGCGGACGTTTCTACGGGACATGATCGTGGCGATGCAGAAGGCGCGGACAGTGAGGGCAACACTGCTCTGATGACAGCGGCTATGGAAGGGCATGAGTCCATGGTGAAGTTGCTGTTGGAGCACCGGGCTGATGCGAGAGCTGCCAACCACGACGGTGCCACTGCCCTGATGGCAGCTGCTCTTCGTGGCCACGAGTCCATGACGAGGCGACTCCTCGAGCACCGTGCTGATGTAGGAGCTGCAAACAATGATGGTGCCACCGCGCTGCTTGTCGCGGCTCTTCGTGGGCATGAGTCCATAGCTAAGCTACTGCTGGAGCATGGTGCTGATGCAGGGGCTGCAAGCAACGATGGCGCCACAGCACTGATGACAGCTGCCCTTCGTGGGCGCGAGTCCATGGCCAAACTACTGCTGGAGCACCGTGCTGATGCACGAGCTGCGAACAATGATGGTGCTACTGCTTTGATGACCGCGGCTACGGAAGGGCACGAGTCCATGGTGAAGTTGCTGTTAGAGCACCGGGCTGATGCAGGAGCCGCCAACGACGACGGTGCCACTGCCCTGATGGCAGCTGCTCTTCGTGGCCACGAGTCCATGGCCAAGCTACTCCTTGAGCATCGTGCTGACGCAGGAGCTGCAAGCAACGATGGTGCCACTGCCCTGATGGGTGCTGCTACAGAAGGGCATGAGTCCATGGCGAAGCTACTGCTGGAGCATCGTGCTGATGCAGGGGCTGCTAACAACAATGGTGCGACTGCTCCAATGGCAGCTGCTTTCTTTGGGCATGAGTCCATGGCGGAGCTGCTGTGGGAGCATATGTCGTGCTGCAGTTTGGATCCCTTCGAATGATTGCATGCTGCATGTCCACCTGTTTTGCAAGGGAAGCGGAGAAAAGCGATGGACAGTGTTTGAACATGTTTGAACAGTTAAATCTGGTCCTAAAGACTGTTCTCATCTCAACAGCTTGATGGCCAAAGTGGATATCGACCACGCTTTGCAGTCCAAGTGTTTTTCAATTTCAATGACATCTCACCCAAATTTGTAGAACCCTGACAAAGACGTAATTCTTTTTCAATCTAGCCAAGCTCTTCTCTTTGATTTTTTGGGGCAGGTTCTTCTGAAGTTGCTGGTGCTTGCGAACACCCTCAATAGCAATCCCCTTTTTCCCAAAGAGCCAGAGACCCTCCTTCCAGCTGCCTAGCTTTGGGTGATCCCAAGATAGGTTGCAACCCTGGGTTGGAACTCTTCCAATCCTTCCATCAGCACAGTCACCTGTGTTCTTCCTCCCTTGCCGCCCCACCGAGGTTATCGAACTCCCCGGAGCGTGTCTCCACGTCGGAGCCTGGAAGCGGCCTGGACGCGAATGCGGCTTGGAGGAACAGACGTCTTAAAGCAGTCAAGGACGCCTAGGCGACCTAAGGCAATCCCAATCCAAGAGTCGGTGGCCGACCTGGTGAATCTGGTTGGCCATGTTTTTCGGCAAATTTGGGCCAGCTCGATTTGTTCGAGGCCTTGGCGGGAATCCGGGCCATCGAACGCTACCAGAAGGCCTCTAAAACCGCGTGGGAGGGCAAGGAGAGGCCGCGCGGCGCTGGGCAGAAGTTTTGGGGAAATCCAGAGGCATTTTTGGGGAGCTTCTTTTGAACTGGTTCTTTGGTGGGGAGCTTTCGATCGACAGAAGCTCATGAGGTATCACGCGCAGAGACAGAGTGCGAGACAGATGAGTTTGTGGATGTTTGAGGCGTGACCTGATCAAAACCTGGAACCCCGAACTGACCCTGATAAGTTGATAGTATCTGATAGTCTATTCTGTTCATGTTCTGTGGGAAAAATGCAGGGTCCTCCGGTTTTGACTCATTGCCATATGGGAACCTGACGGAGCCTGATGACATTCTTCGGGGTGTGCTTTCGCGATGGAGAAAAAATGATCAAGCCAAGAAGCATGACCTTCGAGTTTTTGGTTTTGGTCTCACAGACCTTCGAAGTCATGTCCAGCGTCCGTCTCGTATGGCGTCCGGAAGACGTGCGTCGACCTGAGATCTCGATCTCTTCGTTCGTTTCAGGAACGGAAGCATTGGTTTATGGGTCTCTCGAGCAGCCGGGGGGGCCAAAGGGGGTCCTTCTGGGGTCTTGGGGTCCTGGTCGCTCTCTTCCTTTCAAAAGAAGTTCTAGCCTTTAAAGATTGTAGCAGGATGATTGAATTGTTGCACAGGTTCGGCACAGATCATTTTCTTGGATTTGAACACTAACCTCACTTTCTCGACATGTTGGACAGTCTTCCCGAGGGTTGCCCAGTGCAACTGTCCAGGACAAGCGCGAATGTCAGAAGGTCACACTAGCCCTCAAGAAAGATAGGCACTACGCCCAAGCTGTCAGAAGTTCAAGCTATAGGAATGTATCGAATCTGCTCAAGAATGATGATATTGGCTGGAGCTTTCTTGATCCACTTTTGGGCCATTCAGTGGTGTGTGAGGCTGTCACCCCAAAAAATTGGGTGTCACCACCTCAAGCCTGACAGGTGGAGGCTCACCAGCTCTCATGTTCATGCAAAGGCAAAACAACAAAGGATCGCCAGCTCAAACAAGACGTCAGCTACAGCCAAAAATGGCTGTTCCTTATCGCTCCTGTTCAACACGGCAGGGTTTGGATTTCTCCTCTGATTCTGTGGGTGTTTCAGGTTGAAACACCTTCTTCGTTGCTTTCATTCTCTCCCTCTCCCCTTCATCCGTTCCGCGGTCCGGACCCGCGGGAACCCACGGGCGACTCACCGAGGTGCCGAGCACGTGGGAGATACCCGGACCCGAGTCTTGGAGGACGGTGGGGACGGTGGGGACGGGGTCGGTGGGGTCTCTCAGTGAGGTGGTGGGCGTGGGTTGGAATGGGGCTCCGCCATGATCGGAGTGCAGAGAGTTAGCGAAAGGTGCTTTACCTTGTGTGGATCACCTCAAAGGACACATCCAGCGGCCTCAGGTTTGTTTGGTCTCTGTTCCACACAGGGTGATTCAAAGCAGCCTGAGGACTTGGAGAGCGGACATATCGGTCCATGCTTTTGGGTGGCTGTGGCCAGAAATCCCTAAGAGTTTCAACTGCGCGCATGTGCGGAACATATCGGTCCATGTTGGTCTCGTTGATTCTCACAATTCCGGCTGTATGCTTGAATCTTCTTGAATCTTGCAGAGGCCGCAGCCAATTTCCAACACCTACACGCTTTCTCAAGAAACTTACTACTGGTGGGGGAGAACCTGTGCAGAAAACCAGTCTCCTTTTGGGGTCCTATCCAACCTTGTTTGGAAGGCAAGCCCCAAAACGTCCCCACCTGGGCCTGGGTTTTCGGCACCTTTTCGGGCATGGGCCAGGGCCTGGGGTGGATGGCCTGTTTTTTCGGCCTGTTTATTCGGCCATGAACTCCCAGGGTCTTTTTCCAGGAGATGAAGCAATGGTTCATGACGGTCTCCATCGGCCACGCCCTGCCAGCGGCGACGATGTCTCGCCGCCCCTTTGGGACGAAGGGAAGGAGGGGTCGGAGTCCTTCGTGGGTGGGATCCCATGGGCGCGAAAAGGATGGAAGACCTTTTGCGTTCCAGTTTCAGGAGTTTTAGATGTTTTCGAGAGAAAGAGAAGGAGTTGCTTGTTCCAAGTCATATGCTCATGATGCTCATGGACCAGTTTTGTAGAAGATCATCCCTTGTTTGCTTCAAGCGCACAGTAATCGTTCCTATTTCAGCGGATGAACCCACGACCAACGATCCAGCAGGGGCCGAACGGTCGAACTGTTTCACCGCTGCCGCTTCGTTCCTGAACCTTCCGCCTCCGCGGCGGTGGCTCCGCTGTCGGGTTCCAATCCGTGCGCCGGGCCCGAGGATTGGACTATTGCTGGCAGTTCCTGCTCCGCGCCAGCGACTTCGAATCTCAAAACGAGCTCTCGTTCCTGGCCACGCTGGGAGAGGTGAACGGACCCCCCCATCCGCGGGCCGGCGGGCGGGGGCTGAAGTGTCCTGGAGTTGGAGTTGGTCTGACTTCGAAACACATGTTTTTGGGGTGGTTTTGGCGAAGCCAGGGTGATGTAGGATCTCTCTGAATCCAACATCGTATCGCAGGCATGGACATTTTCGAGAGGTGCAATTTGGTTGCTGCTCTTTCTCCAGAAAAGGTTTCCGCTCCCTTGTGAGGAGTCTATGACAATGCATGTGGAACTTGCCTTGAATCCTTTTAAGATCTTAAGTCTGTGAAGTTGTGTGTAAAGCCTGGAGTATGGAAGCCTTTTTCACCGCGGGTTTAGGATGGAGGGAGTTTGCGGCAGCTGCTCTATGTAATGATCCATGATGGTAACGTGGCTGTCTGAAAAAGACCCTATCAGCTTCACGAGATTGGGTACCAAAGTGCCACCAGATGTGCCAGTGGGCTTGCACACGGCCTTTTAGGTGTTTGAAGACTCGAAAACTGGTGTCGACCCATCCGTCGACCCATCGGCGAGGTTTTCGGATTTGGGGTCATTCTACTTTGCATGACTCACATTCACTTCTTCAAGCTACTTCTTTTCTTCACAGCCAAGTAAGCAACACCCAACAAGCTCGCTCGCTGGCCAGAATCGGAGGAGGTTCCGCGCATCGGCGCTTCTAGGAAGCGAGTCGAGGCCGAAGGATTCCAAACGCCCAGGGAGCTGACCTGGGCGAATGTAAGGACTGACCCCTGGACCAGTCCAGCTGGGCCGGGAACTGTGTAACTCCATAGAGCCTGCCCTGCGCCCGGTTTTGGTTTCCGATCCGATCCACGGCGATTCTGTTCTGGCTCCAGGATAGGACTAAGGAGAACATGTCTTGCTAAAGGCGACATGCGCGGAGGAAATTCAGGATGCAACAGGTTCCCAGTGAAGCCGAACAAAGAAGATGAAGTTCGATCCCAGAACCAAGAACATGATGGAGACGTCGAAAGCAACCTGCGATTCGATGTAGACAGCAAGAATCCACCACAAGACACAGAAAAGAGGAGTCCAAGGTTTCGGCATCACTGAAAACTCAGAAGAGTTTTGGCAGATCGACTGAAACAGCGGCCATCCAACCCCAAAGCATGTGGCCCTGGTTCTCTGGGTTTCTGCCCGGCTTTTTGAGGAGGTTTTGGGTGGAATGCTTGAGCGTCCGACCGGGCATCGTCTCCTAGCCGGGCACCCAGTGGGTGGTCTCCTCAACCTGGCGACTCATCACCGGCCCTGCTCTTCAGGGTCCACTTGAGCGACCGGTTCCGGTCAAGCCGTCCAACCCGTTTGGGGGATCCTTCGGGTTCGAGGAACACGAGGCTCGGGTTCGGGCTCGGGGACTCGGGCCCCTGCCAGGGGGTCTCTCTAGTAACATGCGACATCCAACTTGCCAAATGGGGGCGACCCAACAGATGCCGGGGGAGACAGGCATGCGGCATGCAGACGTTTGTGTGTTCCATGTTTATAACGGCTGAGAAAAGGCTTTGATGTATGCCTTTACTTTATAGTGGTCCCCAAATAAATAGTGGCACGGTTTCCAATACATTTTTCTGGGTGGGGATCGACGAACTTCTATTTGTTTGGGGGTATTATATATTATATGTATAAGAATCTTTATGAGTGTTTTGTTCTTCTGGGAATTAGGACTCGCTGCCCATCCTGAGGCCAAGCATGGAGCCTGCACAGTTGGTGTCAAGCTGAGTTGTTACGTCTGTGGGGACGGCGGGAAAGAAGGCGGTTGTTCAGGGTGAAAGTTGCGCTCCAGAAACGATCCCAAAGCCACCCCAACTCTCTAGGCTGAAGCTTTGGAGAAACTGGAAGTAGGGGAACCAAACGAAGGTCGGATGGTGGAATCTCATCCGTCACTCACTGAGAACAGCTTGAGCCACACGTGCTTGAGGCCCAGCTGGAGACGCTGTGCAATGCGCTGTACAATGCGCGCTCCGAGGCAACGTTGGGGTCGGAGAGGGATGTGAGATGTATTTGCCTTGGATGTACTGGCACTTATCGTGTGTATGCTTGGCCTGTTTAAGCCGACTTCAGAGGATGTCCCTCAGGATTGATTCTGAAACATACCAGTGATTCTCATTTCCATCCAACTGTGCACTCAAGAGTCATGACACTCCAAGAGTCGTGCGGCTTTGGCTTCGGTCCTTTAGGGCCACCAAACCGCACCCAAACCGCGCTTCGATGGCAGGCAGAGAGGGCGCAGGCGCACCAAACCCTACTGCCGCTGGTGCAAAATCCTCAGTTCGTGCGCCCAGACGGGGCGAGCGGGGGCGAAGAGGCTCCACGCGGTGGTCATTCAACGGGACTCTGAATGTGCTTTGGTGTGGAGCTTTTGCCGCACCTCACTGGAGACCTCATGCCGTTGGCGCGTCTTTTCTTTTGTCCAGTGCGCTGAATCGTCTGGTTGATCGGCTGGAGCGTTGCGAGATTGGTGGCCAGGGCCGGATGGTTTGAGTTCCATCCATGGCCCAGGTGCATGCCCCAACTCCAGTTTGTCCTTGCGCACACCAGTAGCGCGGAGCCCTGAACGAGCCAAGGAAACGCCAGACCTGTTCGCGACCTGTTCCGCGGTCGCTCGACCCGCTGCCGATCTCAGATCGATGGAGTGGGTTTGTGTATGTTTGTGTGGGATGGTGAGAGGAAGGGCCGTAATTGGAGTCGTTTTTGAGAGGTGGAAAGGACAGAGACAGGAACATCGAAGCCAGTTGAAGCATGAACATGCTCAAGTGGAGGGGTGTTTACAACAGCATGTGGTTTGATTGAGCAGGCGACAAAATCACCAAGCCTTACAGAAGAAGATTTGTATGTGGTTGTTTCATGTTGTTTCCACCCAGTTGGATGGAATCAGCTGTTGGAGTCCAAGGCTTGCTTGGGGATTCGCGTTCGGCTCCTGGGCTCCCCAACCTGCTCAGGCCCGCACGCGTTGATCTTCGCGGCCACGGGGCTGATGAAGGCGACGCACCGGCGACGCAGCGGCGACGCGGCGGCGACGGTGGATTCGGTCGTTCGATGTGTGGCGAGTGGAATGGATTTGAGCAAAGGAGGCGAACGAGGGACCTGATGTTTCCTCACAAGTGAGTTGCTAGGAATTTGGGTGCCGAAGGTCTCTCCCACTCGAAATGGAAGTTCTCTATATATATATATATCTATATAGGTATATATGTCTTTTCATTTTGCTGTTTGAGATTGAGGTACCCCTGGTTTGTTTAAAGTTTGAGTCGACTTGGCTATTGGAACCTCCTTCCCAACCAGGTGAAGTGGTACCGATCAGGTGAACTGCATCCTTTGCTATGATCGACGGCCAGGGCGGGTAAGAAAGATCATCTAATCTAAGATCGTCTAGAAGATGGTTTAAGCCTGACACGTGCAGGCTTGAAGTAAAGGTGGATGACCAGAACATAGGATGGGCAGGATGGGTAGAGTTCTGTGTAGCGGGTCACAGCCCCAGGCAACAGAACATGGGACATCTCAGCCTTGATGATCCCGTCGATGCCTTTCTCCACCGCATGCGTGCCGCGAGTTCAAACCGCTTGAAAACTGCGCTGCCAGTTGATCACTTCGCACTGGACGTCGGTATCGGACCAGCAAAAGGAAGAGATGAGGAGCTTGCAAGATCTGCCCAGCACAGCAAGTTGGTGCTAGTTTTTGCTGTGGCATTTGTAGAGTGTACGGTGGGATGATGCTTTTTGTTTGAGTTGCAGCATTGCAGCACAGATGCTTCGAAGGAATTTTCTCTTGGACTACTTAGCCAAGAATGGCCAAGCACTTAGCTGGGGTTTGGGGAGATGATGAGCATTTCACATCGTCAATCGTCCTTCTTCCGCTTCGCGCAACACCGGGGTAGCCGCGTAGCCGAGCACTCGTCGTTCCGACCCGACCCGACCCGCGGAGCCCTCTCTTTCGGTTCACGACCCATCTGACAGGGTGGACGGGGCCTGGAGGTGAGGTAAGCTCGGGGAACAAAAGTGGACATCCGGCAGTGGTGGACATCCCTTGGGTTCTTGGATTTTTCGGTGGATGTTTGGGAGCCCAAATAGCGTCCGTTTTTCGCTGGGGGTTTTGGAACTCTGAACTTCGGAGGTCTCTCCTGATCTGCGGATGTCCATTCAGATGTCCGCTACCTTTGCAGATCGCCCAAATCTCTGTAGATGCTGTGTTTACTTGACTTATCTGCAGACAAGTCCTCTGCTACAACGCACTAAGGCCCAGATTTGTACAGGAGTGCGCCCATGGGTGTGTCCCCAGTGGTGAGGTTGCTCTGCAGAGCCCCTCGACCGAACACCGAGCCGCATGGGAGATGGATGCAACTGTAGATGATACAAGCTTTGGGTGCTGTGGACTGTCTTAGAACCTGCTGGGGTGGCAGTTTCCGGCTTGGGGCAGGCTCAGATGTTTTCTGGACATGTCCACAGATGTAGCAAAAGGGTTGATCACAGGAGCGAGTTGCACCAGGCGAATCCATAGTAGTTTCACATGAATCCATTCCATTGCGATGGGATCATAGGTTCTTTTCTCTCATGTGAGGACCATTCTGTCAATCTCTGAGACCTACCAGCATCCCACCCCGAAGACTGGAAATCGCTTCAACGCGGGAGTTGGGGATGGGCCAGGAAGCAGTAATTCACTTGCTACATTGCTACATGTCATCCAATCCTCATGTCAGATTGGCTTACCTCAGAAGACTTTAGATCAAAAGACAAACATGTAGGTTGGTTTACATTCCAGGTTGTTCCAGCTCTTCACAAGTCCATCCATTCATGAACCTTGATCACTTCTAAAGGGCACCTGGCTGAGGGCGTTACAGAGGCACCCCCAACCCCTGATCTTTTCCCCTTTTGTAAAAGGGTCTTCTTGCAACCCACTCGTCCTGGGTCTCCTTTTGTTGGCTGAAGAGGGTCCTGGGTCTCCTCTCATGGAGAACCTCGCACCCCGTGAGGTCGTCAAGCTTGCCTGGCTCGAAGGGTTTCTTGGCTTCGCGAAGGGTGGACAGCGCGTGAAACACGCGTAACTTGAGATTCACGCTTGACTTGAGCCACGGTTGTCTTGGCGACCAGAAAATCAGACAGTTTCTTTCTCCACACGACACAGGGCCTTTTGGATTTTTCGGGTGGATCCGAATCTGAGCTTCCAGAGACCCCCAGGACGAGCAGCTGAAACAGCTGCCAGGACGTGAACGGTCGCGATGCCGTGCACCTGCCCGGTGTCCGCAATCGGAACACAGCCCGGCGAGCAGAAAACCAGGGCGGGGCCAGAACTGGGTTGGAGGCCAGATCATTTGTAGAAAGAAGGTCAAGCTGCTGGATGACGGAAGCAGAATGCATTTCAGATTCAACGGGCCTGCGGCAGGGATCCAGGATCACACGCGGAGCCCCAAAAGCCCTTCCATCACCCCAGGCTCTGGCCGAGAAAAGAAAGACATGCCACTCAAGTGGCCTTTCGTCGCCGGTACCAGGGACCAAAGCACCTGAAGAAAAACGACCGACCACTTCAGCTTCGGGAGGTCAGACACGAAGGCGGTAAGACACGAGGTCAGATGGTCACGACATGTCACGACCAAGGCCTCAGCATCAGATGGTCACGGCCAAGGTGGACCAGTTCCTTCAATCTTCACCTCTGCGCGGTTCTCGTGATGGAACGGTGGCGAACGGTGGACGGGGACGGTGGGAGCCTCCACCGGTTGATGTCAGGAAAGGTGTGTTCTGGGCCTGATCTGAGAGGCGGTGTAGGTCTCGTGGGTGGAGGCAGTTCAGAGGACTTGTTGGAATTGGTCTGGGTGCTGCTGTATCATGTGAACGCACCATGCTTTTGCTGTAGGTTCTGGCATTGGCCAGTCGAATGGTTGCTCAGACTGCTGACACTTCGTTTACCAAAGAGGGTGACCCTGGATTTTGGAGAGTTTATGGGTTTCTTTCCGTTGGAGGACCTGCTACGCAGCTGCTACGTGGCGTTGACCCAAGGGAAACGGCTCCATGTTGGGTTGACCCTGCCATTCTATACAATTCAGTGTCCCTTCCGTGATTTGGAAGCAGTTGACCGGCCCATAGCAGTGCAGCACTCTGCTGGGAAGCACGCTGGAATTGAATCAAGGCTCGGCCGAACCGCTTGACCCCCGCCACGGGCGGTCTTTGGGTGGCCCTTTGGGCTCAAGCGTTGAGCTCAGAGTGCAATTTCCCTGAATGGGGAAACACCTGAGAAGGCCCGGGAATGGTTCCCCCCCTCTTTTCGGACGGCCAACCGGGGAGTGGCATGTGGTAGTTCCGGTCCGCGCACCTCGGGTTTGGCTGGGAAAGAAGTGATGCTGGTGCATTCTTCCTTCGCATGTTGTATTAGCAAGTGGACCTTTTGAAGGGCTCTTCACAGTGATGTCCCGTCCCATGAGGTCCCATGAGGTCTGGCCGGGGTGTCCCATGAGTGATTGTGCAACGTGGATGTGATCAGGCATCTTAAACATCCCCAGAGTCGCCTGATGGGATCGCCCATCCCATCGCAGGCTTCAGGGTATGATGAGGGGGTGAGCAAAGAAACCCTCAACCCAGCCTCAAGGGCAATGGAGCCAACACTTGGATGGTTTTGGATCGTAGGATTCTGGCTAGAACGGCTTAAGAAGTGCCAAAAGAATGCCGGAAAAAAGCGGATCAACTCACACTTTGTGGCACTTCCTGGGCACCACTCCCATTCTTTGCTCCTTGTACCAGGACGGTCTGCCGGCTATGGCACCTTTGGCTCCTCCTGGCATCCGCAAGGTCGCTGAACGTGACTGAGGCCGAACAGAAGATTGAAACCACTGACCGGATTCGATTAAGACGAGGTCCAAAAGACTTCGGGTCGTTCATACCTGGGTCGTTTCTTTTCCTTGTTCCCCAATAGCCATGCTATGGGGTCTTGCAAAACTAATAGGCGGACGGGCGCCGTCGGGTCACCGTCAGAGCTGGTGGGCGGATGGTGTCCCGGTCATGTTTTGATGGCGTCCGGGTCATATGATGCTGGTGTCCCGGTCATGTTTTGATGGTGTCCCGATCATGTTTTGATTGTGACCCAGTCATGTTGTGATGGTGTCCTGGTCCTGTTTTGATGGTGTCCCGAGTCCCGGTCATGTTTTGATGGTGTCCCGGTCATGTTGTGATGGTGTCCCGGTCATGTTTTGAAGGTGTCCCGGTCATGTTGTGATGGTGTCCCGGTCATGTTGTGATGGTGTCCCGGTCATGTTTTGAAGGTGTCCCGATCATGTTTTGATTGTGACCCAGTCATGTTGTGATGGTGTCCTGGTCCTGTTTTGATGGTGTCCCGGTCATGTTTTGAAGGTGTCCCGGTCATGTTGTGATGGTGTCCCGGTCGTGTTTTGATGGT